CCTCCTACTCGTCCATCACCTCTCCAGACAACTTTTCCAAACCAACCAAACTTTGACCCAAACATGGATCTGTCTTAGAAATGTTTGTTTTACTATATATTTTTATTGTTTTTATTTATTTCTGTTATTTTTGAAGTCTGTACTTTCTAGCTTTATTGTACTTTTTCAATTTGACTTATGATCAAGCTTGTCCTTTATTTTCATATATTATTGCCTTAATCCATCTTTCCCTTCTTTTTGATAATGTCAAAAGGGGAAGAAGGATGTTACTCTTTTCTTGTTTATTATCTTTCCTTAACGTACAAATTTTCAAAATTCAAGATTATTTCGAACCTCAATACAAATTCAGAAACTCTCAACACGTCATACATTAAGGGGGATAAAAACGTACCGGAAAGAAAACATCACAAAAAAAAAGAAGGCTTTGTCATCATCAAAAAGGGGGAGAAGGTGAAATCAAGATTCTCAGAGATCAACATTTGTTTTGATGAAGACAAATCACTCAAGAAGGCAAAGATGATCAACCATCAAGCATCAGGACAAAGATACAACTTTGAAGATGTTCTCATCTGAAGGTATAATGAGAATGTCCATTAAGCATTTAAGTCCTAATTTCTCAAATCTTTTAAAACATTTCTCATGACTTGTTACACTTTCACAAGCTTTTGAAAACAGAATTTTTCTAAGTTTTTCAAAGTGCAATCGATTGCATGATCAAATTTTCTAACTATTTTTTGTTTCTGTTTTGAAGTGTAATCGATTGCATGCTTAAAAAATTCTCAGTTTTCACTTCTGTTATAAAGTGCAATCGATTACTGCCTTGGTGCAATCGATTGCTCACTAAACGTTTTTGAAAAATCCTTCTGAAAAATTGCATCTCTTTATTCAAATGTCTGTTAAATGTTTCCTTTGAAACATAACAACTGTTCATCAATATTTCTGAAGATTTTCATGATTTTATCAAGAGATATTTATGTAATATAAATACCTAGCTTTTCAAAATTCAAAAACAACTTTTACATCAATTCTTTAAAATCTCTTTCAATAAAAAACTCTTGAACATTTTTCTTTAAACAAATTTTCACAAAGAATTTTCTGCATCAATTTCATATCTTTTGAAAAGAAAATTCTTGAGCAATAAGTCTTAGATACTTGTGGAAATTCCATTGAAAGAGAAGATTCAATCTCAGCATTGATTATCAATTATACATTGTTACAAATATTACAAACTCAAAATTGTATTTTAGATTCCCCTTGTTGTTCAGGATTGTTGAAAGCAAGTGTGTGCATTAGAGAGGATTGTTCTCATTGCACTTAGTGTTTAGATCTTAAAGGTGTTTTAAGAACCTTTGATCTTCTATAGGTTAGACCAAATTGTACATTGATCCTAACTATAGTGAAATCTCTTTCGTGTTGAAAGGGGAATGGAGTACCCTCGGGGTGTGAGGGGAACCACTATAACTCTCTGTGTCTCTTTTACTTTCTGCCTTTACAAGCTTTCAAATCATCACTTCATTAAAAAGAAAGTAACATAGCCCTCTTAAAACCAGAAAATTTCAAAGAACCTAATTCACCCCCCTCTTAGGCGCATTACTTACTCACAATGATCACTTTTTCATTTATGTCATAACACCTATATGTCTTACTATTTGTTGTATACCCAATGAATACACATTCATAGGCTTTACTAACGAGTTTAACTCAATTCAAATCCGAAATTCTGTCATAAGCTAGACAACCCCCAAGTTCTAAAGTAGACAAGTTTGGTTGTCTTTTCTTCAATATATAATAAGGAGAGATCTTATTTTTAAACTTGGGAACTCTATTCGGAACAACAATCAACAAAGCTTCCTCACACTAGTGAGATGCAACACCAAAATTTAACATGATAGCAATAACTAGTTCAATAAGAGTTATATTCTTTCTTTCTGGTTTACCATTCATTTCAGAAGAATATGGTACAATCATTTCATGTACAACTTCATATTGTTTATAAAATTCATTAAATAAACTAGAATCGTACTCAGTTCCACTATCACTACGAGACCACTTAATTTTCTTACTAAATTGATTTTCGATTTCATTTATAAAGTCTTAAACATATCAATCTCGTTTACAAAAATATAATTCTTAGTGATGGCTTACAAATTTACCCTAATAGATTGACTAGCCCCTACCTTATTTAGAAAAAAAGCATAAACAATATTCTTTATAATCTCAAGAGTATGAATGAGATCCCTCAAGATTAAAGTCTTTTTCGAAGGTGGACTTCAATTCCACTTCTTCAATATTAGCAACATTACTGGTGAGACTAACTCCCAACAATACTTTCTTATTCGTGGATGCTTTGAAGATTGCACGACCGTAACAGACATATAACAAGAGAAGCCAATGTCTATCCATTAACCATCATATTCACCAATCATGTTGATTTCAAAGGTCAAAGCAATAAATTGCTCATTAGTCAATTTAACCTATGCATTAGGGGCAACACAGGGTTGTTGCCTATCAATTGGAGTAATTAGAGACCTTGAAGGGTTCTCATTCTTAATTCAGCCCACAACATTGTGGTTCTAATTCTTTAGTCATTTTCCAAATGGCTTCAGAATTATACCAAATTTCTTTTTGTTGTTTGAAACAAGCCACACTTTTTTTCTTCTTGGCCTTATCTCGGAGATTCTTCATCAATTCAAAGACAAATAATAAGACTCTCAATTGAAAATTCTTTTATTTGTGGCGGAATAAACTTTTTAAAATCTTCCAAACTATTGGTAGTTTAATAATAAAAGTAGTTTAGAATTGTTCATCTAAAAACACACCTTTGGTGGTGAACTCATAAGCAAACTTTTGAAGTTCGTGAAATTGAGCCTCCACAGAACTTTCTTATATACCATATGATACTTGAGGTATCAGAACATATTTCTTTGATCCAACTTCTTCGCGTCATGTTTCTTTTTTAGAGCCTCCCAAACTTGTTTTACAGTATCGCAAATGTTGTAATAATAAAAAAGATCATCTACAAGTCTATTCAAAACATGTTTTTGTAGAGATAATCATTATCTTTCCATAAGGTGACTTCTTTCCTAAGTTGTAAATCATTCGCTTTAATCTCTTCAACATATTCATCTTTAACACTATAAAGTGTTTCATCTGAATCCACATATTTTTACCATTAATTTGCTCAGTTTGTCAATAAGGAGCTACAGGAATGTCATTAGTCAGAACGTTGAAAGCCTTTTTAAAGCTAAGAAAAATCGCAAATATTGTTGTCAATGTTTGAAGCGACTTCTCTCAAATTTGAACGGTTTATCAGAGACAACAACTGTAGAAGTACTAATAATTTCTTCGGTAGTCATGACGGTTTGAAACGTCTTAAAATTCTTATTTTATAGTTTTTAAAAATTTCCATTAAAGAAATTACTGGGTCGGGTTGTAGACTAGACCACTATCTCTAAGACGTTTCGTGGCACTGCCTAAAATTGTGCAAAACAGTTACTCAACTACGACGCCTCTAGGATAAAATAATTCGGTTCTATATTGTATAATTAGTACTTGCAGGATAGATATTCAGTCTAGAAGAACATCCTCTTATGGTACAAAGACCATTTGAATATGGTAAATACTACTTGTAGTATATGATATAAATGATGTAAGAAGACTCTTTAAGCCACCTGCGTTTGTTTCAGATCCAAAAATATATTTTAATATTTTATGCAATTTTCTATTTTTTATTTATTAAAAGCTTATTGAGGTTTCTTTTTTCTATTTTATTTCTGTTTTGAATTAAAAACCGATAAATGTGTCTTTTTTCTATATTTAAGTATCTTTGGGTGTGACCGTCAAGGTTACCTTTCATATAACAAAATTCAGTAGTTTATTTATCTAGTGGATTTTAACGTTTATCTAACAAGTTTTGCGCTTGCAATCCTGTGTTATCATTCTAGGTGTAGCGCTTGCTATTCAATAATATTTTCAACTACGTTAATAAATATCGGGCGTAATTATTTCTCAAATAAGGAGAAATTCAAATGATTCTCCAAAGAGAATTAAATAATGGTTATTTAATCACTCAAAATGATATCTCAAACATAGAGACATTCAAGTAATTTAAGTAATTCTCCAAAGAGAATCCAAAAATAATATTCGATAATTTCTCAATTCAAATGAAAAAAAATTAAAATAATTTTTTAAAAAGAATTAAAAAATATATTCAAAATATTCAACGAGTAGAAAAAAAGAGGAAGAAGTTGACACTTTGACAATTCAAAAAATATAAAATTATAAGAATAAATAAGAAAATAATAAATAGAAGTTTTTGATGTGTTTTGAAATTCAACAAATAATTTAGTTATATAGCTTAAAAAATGTGAGACTTAAAAGATTTTTTCAAATTCATTTTTTTATTAAAATATTGCCATGTTCAAAAAAAAGAATCAATGTAAGAAGATCTCATACCTTGCAACTCACAATGAGTCATGACCAAAATATTTATGCTATCATGTTTATCCCTAGAAGATTTAATGTTGATGCCCATAATTTGGTAAGGTTTGGTAAGTTGTATTGATCAAAAATTTGAATGGGAGGTTATCCGAATCTGAATCTCTTTAACTTTGCTGTTGGTTCTGCTGTTTCTTAATGAATTATTTTCTCGTAAAAAATAAAATAATGTTGGTTGGTTGTTTAAATTGTTATTTTCATTTAATGGTTTTTAGTAGTATCCATTTGTATGGAATATCCACCTATTAAAAAAATAGATCAAGACGAGTGTCTAGAAGACAAAGAAGTTTGACAATTTAGATCGTATACGTATACCATGATGATTCATACAAAAAATGAAAATGGTTAAGTTTATTCAAAAGTCTAAACTTGTCAAATGGTCAAAATAGAAATTCCGTTTCGTCAACGTTCCACTGTGAGACCCGCCACGCCTACCACCACAGTCTAATAAATGCAGGCTTCATCCTTTTCAATCTTTCTCATTCATTCTTTTCCTCTTTCATATGGATGTGAGTTTATCGCTTTTAATTATTTCATTTTATTGCTTAATTTTATCTGGATTATTTATTTAACTATCATGTTTATTTAGGTGATGTCTACTAACAATAGTAATTGTGGAAATGCTTCAAATCCTTACCATCAATGCACACAAGCTTGTTTTCAAAAGACAAAGGGAAACAAAGCACAATCTAATAGAAAAACTAGTTCGAGTTATGGGCGGAGTTTTACAGACGGTGATTTGGGCAAAAAGGTAATTAGTGGAGAAAGACGAACTTATCCTGGTTGTCCTAAAGCATCTAATCCTTATCATACTTGTGATGCCAATTGCAACAAATCATCATCCAATTCAGGTTCAACTCTTTTCTTTTTAATTAGCTTATTTTATTTACCTATACTTAATTGTTTTGTAACACCGAAAACACTAAGTAATCCTCTTAAAGTCTCAGATTTGGATCTGTTAGATCAGTCCATATAGAACTTTGACTTTAAAGGTGCTCCTGCAAATAGATTAGTCAGAAGCAAGACAGACCATTAAATCAAGATTTCTCATCAAATTCTTATGAACCAATCTATTTTTAGCCAATTTTTAATAGTAATTACATGTGTCAGTGATTTTACATAAACATATATAGCCAATTTTTAATCGTAATTACATGGGTCAGTGTTATGGATAAACTAAGATCTTTCAGTATGGCATTTGATGGATAAATAACTTGATTCTATTACAATATGGATTGCAGGTGCTACTCCTCATTCCAAGATTGATCATAGGAAGATAGGTTCAAAGCCAGAACCCCCTATTCTTCACAGTCTTCCACCAACAAAAAATGGGACAACCAGTAATAATCTTTCCAATGCTTCATCAACAAAACCACATTACTCTGAGAACAAAAAGATAGAGTCAAAAACGGATGAGATCATTCCTTCTTCTGGACCAATTTCACATGTTATGGTACTGTCTCTTTTCTCTTATGCTCCTTAAACAACATTTTAAAGAAATCATATATTTGAACTATGTGTTTCTTTTTGACAGCCTAAAGAACAAGATAAGGATAGTGTTTCTGAGGACAAGGTTGTTCCAATTACTACTTATTCTGTTGAAACTAGTTCCAAAGATTTTAGTTTCTCTGACACTCCCATTCGTCTCAACAACAGCAAAGAAATTGATACTAATAGTGATGGAGAGACAGATAGTGTGATATCTGAATCGCGTATTCAAATTGGAAAATACAATGTCAAAGAAAGTTTTGGTTCCATTCTACAAACAATTCTCGATAAGTATGGTGATATAGGTGCAAGCTGTGATTTAGAATCAGTTGTAATGCGTTCGTATTACATGGAATGTGTATGTTTTGTGGTACAAGAATTACAATCTTCTTCTGATTCATTGACCAAGTCCAAAGTGAATGAGTTGTTGGATATTGTTAAGGATATTGAATCTGCTCATCTTCGCGTTGCATGGTTGCGTAACACGCTAGATGAAATCGCTGAAAATATTGAACTCATTAGAAAACATCAGGATATGGAAATCGAAAAGGCTAATTATGATCTTGAAATGGAATCATTGAGAGAAAAGCTGGAATCGGAATTGGTAACATTGGCTCAGAAAGAACAAGAGATTGCTGATATTCATATGAGAATTCCTGAAATTAGAGATCGTTTGAAAAATCTTGAGCAGCTCATGTCTTCTGGATTAGAAGATGCGCAAACCATGTTGCCTATCAAGTCCAAGATTGATCAATTATTATAGTTATAATCAAATTGTTTTTCTTTTTTAATTAAATTAGTTAAAAAGTAGAAGAGGTTACATTAAACAATAAAAATGGATGCCAGAAACATGTGGTTCTTTTATTTTATGTTATTTGATTTATGTCAATATTATTTGGTTCATAATGTTGCATTCATTGGTAGGAACTTTCCATCTCTGACTACACATTATAGATGTAAATTTTATTATATTTATTTTTGTTGTTTTATGTTCGTTTCACATTGAATAGTCATGATATGGTTTGTGGTTTGTCCCAATCGAAATTTATATAAGAGATCCATCCATCTCAATTCAACTATCCTTTTTTTTAAGGACAAAGTCAGAAAGAATCTCACAATGGACAATATTACATAATCTCATCGATTCAGAATTGGGTTCAACTAGAACATTGATAAATATTTCATAATTTCACTGACTCGGATTTGAGTTCAACCAGAACATTGATATTAGAAGGAGGGGTTGAACACACATATAATACTTACATCTGGTTGCAACTGTTTTAAACTAGTCAAAATAGTTCCACAATCTAAAAAAACACTTTTTTTAATGGTAAAATAATTTATTAATAAAGGAGGCTGAAAACCCCATCAGAGTACAATAAAATATCACCAAAGCATAAGGTGTGTCGAGTCAACAAAGCAACTACAAATAGGAGATCAACCAAAACAAAAGAACAAAAAAAAAGCATAAGGACTGTTGAGCCAACAAAGCAACTACAACTAACAAAAGAACAAAAGAAAAAAGCATAAGGAGTGTCGAGCCAACAAAGCAACTACAAATAGGAGATCAACCAAAGCAAAAGAACAAAAGAAAAAAGTCGAAAGCAACCATAGAGAAGGAGGAAAAGCCCATGAACCACCTGGACAACAAACTACAACCCAACATGGACCACACTAGAGCTCAGACTCTAGACCACCAACATCAGACTAAGCTCATAACCAACGCTAAAATATCATTAAGCACCAGAGTGACAAGTCAGAACTCTTGGTTCGATATTGTTTCAGACACGCAATAGGATTCTGAAGGCAATTGGAGAAGAACAAAGAGTTCATAGAGGATCTATTAAGAAACCTACTCCAAGAAAAAAAAACTCTTATTTTCCATCTATTTCACATTTGTTGACGAACTGAAAAAAGTTATCATTATGAACAGACCTGATGGTCCACACCACAACATACCAAATCATAATTAACCTACCCCTGAATTTAGCCTAGCTCCTAAAGAAAGAAAAAAACTCAAACACACTCATAAAATCCCTAGTAGAGCCATGTGCACCCTTAACCACTTAAAAATCTTATACCAGACATTAGAAGCCAAACTACAGGTAACAAATAAATGGGAGGATGACTCAATATAATCCTCACACAAGATACACAAAGTTCTCTCTGGTTCGATAATGACCATTAGCTTGAACATATTTTCCTTAAACGAGAATCTATGTCGTAGAAGTTGCCAAGAAAAGACTACCACCTTAGAGGGAGTCCAACACTCCCAAATCAAGGGTAGAGTTGGAATCACACTGAGTAAATGAGACTCAACACTACTACGGAAAAAGAATTTAACAACGGTTGGGAAAAATATATAACAACGCGGGACCAGACGTTGTTATGTAATATGTTGTTGTATATGCGGTACTTACAATCACGGTACTGGGGCCGTTGTTGTATTCTAGAAAGTTCGCGCCATATCACAACGGTTAGTTAATCCAACAGTGTGATAGAATCTGATCAGCGTTTAATATACAACTACGGTTAGGTTTTATAACCGTTGTCAAAACTTCCTCTGTTTTAAATATGCAATTCTCTGCTTCTCAAAATTTTCCCATTTTTTATCTTGTAACTATTATAACCATATCAGAGAATTTACAACAACCTGTATTTTTATAAACCATGGATAAAGAGCATAAAAAAAAGCTAACATTATGCATGAAAAGTCAAAATTAATATTTACATCAAACACAATATGTTTAATTTAAAAGTAATATTTACATCATCAATACAGAAAATAAGTTATCAACACATCTCAATTAATCAATCAGCAGGACCCTTAACCACATTGTGGAAATACGACCAACGTTTACGAAGATCTACAAAATCCTCAATGGGGAATGTAGTCTCGTCGTTAAAAATTTACATAAGAAAGAGCAAAAAATTGAATATCATGCATGATAATAATTCAATAGTCAACCTATATATTAATATATGTAAATATTTTATGACATATATACCTTATCCCATGAATCAACAATACCGGCAAGGACAATATTTAACATGTGTTTCATGACATAATACCCACACTCGTAAGTCCCGGGTTGTCTCCTCGTCTACAAATTTAAGCAATAATTAATGAATATAACCACACATGAATGTAAATGAAAGAAACAGGTAATCGGGTCACTCACTTTAGGAAAGATCCATGAGGACTTTCTTATAACATTGTTCATCATATTCACTTGCCCCACAACACTGTACATTGAAAATGAATTAAACATATTACATGATAAATTAATTACAATGTCAAAGAAAATGAATTAAACATATTAAATGATATGATGATTAATTTCCAATGACCACAACATAAACACAAGCATATATATTATTAGTATTTGTTAAAACAAAACTAAATATAGAATACATAAATATAAATTAAAAATAATACTTACAAACAGAGAAATGGTGCTAAGTAACTGATCAATGCATCTTTATGCGCATTCTCCTATATTTTTACTTAGACATTTCTTTACTTTATTTTGATTATTCTTATGTTTTTATATTTTATTTTAATTTTGGGTTAATTTGATTTTTGCACTTTATTTTTCAGCTTTAGCAGTCTGCATGAAAACGATCATAACTGGAGTTCCGGAATCCGTTTGAGGTGTTCTAATAATCGCCGGAAAGCTAAGAGAGAGAGAGCTACGACTTTCGTGTTGGAATCAAAGTCAGATTCCGAGCACATTTTCCCAGAATATTCGTTGAAGTTACAACATTAGGAATTTGTTTTAGTTTTGGGTCATGTTTTGGGCCTGGGTTATGTTTTCGACCCAGTTGGGTTATGAACCGGATCCCTTGTTTTTCTTTTTAGGAGAAACCTCGTTTTACTGTTCATTATCATTCACTATTCACGAAAATATTTGCAAGCTTGTAAACTCATGGAGAACTAATCCCCTTTGGACGGATTCACTGTACTCAGGTTTCAAACTTTGAGATTGTTATGATATTTACAATTTAAATTTGATTCCTTTCAATTATATCATATGATTATTGTTTGCTTAATTCGATTATCATATAGTATATTTGGTTTAATTTGATTGATCTGTGTTCCTAATTTTAATCATAGATTAACTCTGCTTAATTGTTAATTTGCGCTATCCTTTACCGTATGCTTAATCCGGCGATAGGAACATGTTTCTCATGATATCAATCACGCTTGTTGATTGATATTGTCATCAAATAGGATAGAAGTTCCGCTTGGGAAATTATATTTTCATCGGTCGATGATTAGTAAGAACCGAGGCAGTGGATCCGTTACTATAATCACTTATTTCACAACAGCTTAGTTCAGTAATCAATTATTTTAAGTGCTTTTTCTTCATCAGAAACCTAAACCTCCCCTTATTTCATTACTGTAATTAGTTAATCACTACAAGAATCCTTGCGATACGATATTCCGAGTTACTGTCGTTGTACTGCATTTTTACAAAATAACTCGTTTTTGATCCCCGACAACGACGGATAACAGATCAAATTGGCACCGTTGCCGGGGAGTCTTGTCATTATTAATCGATATTAGAGTCGTAGGTTTAGTGTTGTTGCGCTTAGGCCCTAGGTTCCCCACGTTTTTGGCCTTCTCACGTTTAGAGTCGAAAAAATCGGTTTTTGGAAAAATTGCGTCTGAATCGAAATCTGTTCCGGGCATTTGATGCGAAAAAATTCTCTGGTCATTTATCCCGTACTACAAAGTAGTTACAGAAGAATCGTTTCAAATTCCCAAATTCATCATTTTTCTATTTTTAATGAAATTTTTACTGTTTTCATAGAGTCGGAAAAAATCGAAAAAATTCTCATAATTGTTATTTTGCTTAATTAGCTTAATTCTGGTGTTATTTTATTTTTTCTGAATTTATTTTAATCGTTTTCCATCATTGTGTTTGTTTTTTGACTTTTAGGGACATTGTTGGCATTTTAAACATTGTTGCTGCATTGTTGTGCATTAGTCCTGGCAACTAGGTCATCTTGTTCTGATATTGTTGCTTTGGATCCTGAAGTAGAGAGAACTTTGCACACACGACGTAGAGCAGTCCAGGTTACCATTAGTTCACCACCACCCACCATTGAGTCTGACAATTTGCATAACTTGTTTGCTTCAGATACTGAACTTGATTTTGAAATGGCTGATAATAGAACCTTAAGGCAATTAGCTGCCCCTGATGTGAATTATAACGGTTTGTGTATTGAGTATGCTGTTGATGTTGTTCCTTTTGAATTAAAATCGGTTTTAATACACTTGTTGCCCAAGTTTAGTGGTCTTGCAGGTGAAGATCCTCACAAACATTTGAAAGAATTTCAAGTGGTGTGTTCTACGCCATTGAAGCGTGAAGGGATCACTGAAGATCACATCAAACTTCGAGCTTTTCCTTTTTCATTGCAGGGTGCAGCAAAGGATTGAATATATTCCCTCGAGCCAAATTCAATTGCAAACTGGAATGCTTTAAAAAAAGTGTTCCTAGAGAGATACTTTCCTGCCTCCAGAGCTGCCTCGATAAGAAAAGAGATTTGTGGTATTAGATAGGGTAATGAGTCTTTGATCGATTATTGGGAGAGATTCAAACATTTGGTATCCAGCTGCCCTCCGCACTAGATCACCGAGAAACTACTCATCCAGTACTTTTATGAGGGGTTGTTACCGATAGATAGGAACATTCTTGATGCTGCTAGCGGTGTAGCACTTGTTGATAAGACTCCAGCCGCTGCCAAGGCTCTAAT